TCTGACTTCACAAACATTTCCTAAAGAGCTTATTGAATTTAAGCATGACACTGCAATAAGCCAGTTTAATGTTTCTTCCCTCCCAGATATTCCACAATCAACTGCAAATCGTCTTATTCCAAACTGGAAGCATTTAGGAACTGCAGCCTCAGAGTGTTAGACCACATCAAGCTACAGAGTGAGGTCACCAGGTGCTGAGGTACATGGTGTGTTACCAACACTCGGCACAACAATTGTGCGCCAGGAGCATAGCATAGGTCTCTATGGCTGAGCAGCTCCTACAGGTATTATGGTAGGTGACCCAGTAGTTTGGTCCATAGCTGTGCAGCTGTTCTAGTCTTTGATGTCAGGCAACTTCCAAAAAACAAGCTCATCCAAATATACCATCTTGGACAGCACGAGTTCTTGTTCTACTCTGGACAACTGTCACAAGCTCGACTCGACTCTAACCAGAAAATACAGTCCAAGATGGAGAGCATTATGGGAAAAACAGAAGAAGTTCCTTTCATGGCACAAATCTAATCATTTGAAGTGCTGAAGTAACATTCGAGGTTGATTTTTGATGTCTCGGTCCACTTGGGGTGAATTACATTCTTCTAAATAAAACAAATAAAATCTTTAAAGACCTCAATCAACAAAAACAGCTACAGTACCAAAGTATGGTTTTCCTCTGTGTGTCCATAGTACACATGCAGATGCCTTCAGAAGCAAGCTGCCTGACTGTTACTGATTAATGCTACACATGAGGCCCAGAGGAAAGCTGTACGGTTCAAAGCCTATGCCAAACGGAATGAGGGAGTTTGAGCTCTTACAGTCAGTATGCAATGTTGTATCACCAGGAAATCTCACAATGAAGAGAAAGTATGTTTGCCCACTGGGTGTCTGTTCTTTAAACTTACTGAAGGCGGTGGGTGGTCAGCAGCAGCAGTTTAGGGGGGGCTGCCATATAAAGCAAAAGGAAGGTGAGCAAGGCTTTCGGCTGCTGTTAAACTTCTTCAGAGGACACTCACTGCCAGCAGCTTTCTTGACCAAAGGTAAGCACCGGTTTAAATCCAGACCACAACGCTTGGAAAATAACTTTGAAAAGGTTCGTCCTCTCTGAACTAGAAGCTTAATGGTACTTGGTAGACTTCTGCTCTCAGTGCACTTCATGGCGACCGTGGTCAGTCAGTTAATGACTTTGAATTTGAGGGTTGGGGGTGAAGTAAAGTTCAAAAGTTTGTCCTTCTATTGTCATCTCATCTCCCCGTCCTCCTCGTGGTTCTCACATGTCCACCCGGTTCACAATGTCTCTTTTGGAGGCACAAGAGTCAGCCAGAAGACGCGCCAGCTGATGAGAAGTGTGTGTGGAAGGAGAGGGGCGGTGGTGGCATTACCAAATATGGGATTCACAGTGAGTCATTTTAATGACGCCCACTCCTCCACCTAATCGGCGGTAGTTCATTCCTCCGTACAACCTAGAAAGAGGAGACAAGTCAAAAAATGTCAACAGTGCAAACACAGGGCTGCACAATTAATCCAAATGTAATCTCCATCACCATTTTTGCTTCCCACAATTATATAATCACATTTGAGCAATATTTAAAATTCTTGCTCTGCCATTGAAAAAGAAAAAGCCACTCAAGTACTCCCTAAAACTCAGCCCCTGTCCACATGTCTGCATGTACTAATCACAGCTGTTCACTGCATCATGCAGCTTGAAGTTTCCTGCAGGGGTCTGTGTGGCTGCAACCAGAGTTAAGATTAGCATTTGTGTTAAGTGTCACAGCTATGAATTTATTTAACACATGTAGACGCACATCGCATAGCTAAGTGTTTGACAGCTGTACTTGATGTATAGTAACTAAAGAACTGATCCTACTAGAATACCATTTACCTCCATGTGTTGGCGTCAGGGTCATAGACTTCTATCGTTTTCAGATACGTCGTGCCATCAAAGCCTCCAACTGCCATCAGTTGACCATTAACCACTGCTAAGCCCACCTACAGACACACATAGTTACTCCAATGCCTCATACAACATATGGTATCATTTAAGGTGTGCATTAAAATACATAAACATCCATCATGACACACTCACCCCACTCCGTCTGGACGTCATTGCCACTACAGGAGACCATTGATTGGTCCTGGGGTTGTATCGCTCTGCGCTGCTTAGCTCTGTGGTGTCGTCTCTACCTCCCACAGAGTAAATCATGTCCTGATAGACCGCACAGCCAAGGTGCTTTCTTCTGGTTCCCATGGGGGACACTGTGTGCCAGCGGTTCTCTTGAGGGTTGTAGCGCTCCACTGAAGAGGAAAGAATGAGGTGATTAAATAACAGGAGAAAATGACAGAAATATGTAGACAGATTTCAATCATTGGTTCAACTAAGAACATCGTTCAAATGTGGTTATCAATGGGAAACAAGGAACACCACTTACATACAGTTTGGTTTGCTTTACCATTAACTTTAACCAATAAGAGTAAGTGTAACTCCTTAGCTATTGGTCATTAAAGATCATCATCATCAAGCCTCTGTAATTGTATTCAAGCCCCAAATTGCGACCCCTAAACTGCTCCCTGTTGGTCAAACTTAACTGAAAAAGTTTCAGTTTTTATTACACTGCTTTTAGACACAAGTTACAGCATTTTGTGAGATAAAGTATCAGTTTTTACATACAAATATAATTCAACAAATTCTTTTAATCTAAGTAGTTTAAAAATGTTGCATTTTTTAAATCCTCAGCTTTTCAACTACAATCTGTCTAGTTATGTTTAGTAATTATAGTAGTCAAAATGTGACACTGTACACTGGAAATTGTTACAGCGATTCAACTAAAGGAAAAAAAAAAAAAGAAAGATTTAAGACATTTGACACCCATCCAAACTGAGGCATGTTTGTCATTTGTATTAGTTTCTGTGTATTTTTGACATTTAAAATATTTATTTTTAGGCCTTTTTGACACTATAGAGGACAGGAACAGAGAGCAGTGAATGACACAGGAAATGTCCAGAGCCAAACTAGAACCCAGGCCCCTGCAGCAGTCTATCTAAATGTGGCTCGCCTGCTCTGTGAGCTGTTCTACTTCAGACATTAAGACTTGAACAACCTCCAGGGAGAAAACTGAAGGCAATTCTGAAGTGCCAAAAACTGCAGTTCCTGAAGTGGCCATTTGAGCCTTTTCCAAACATTTGTCCATCAATGACTGTTAAAATGTTAAAATAAAGTGCATAAAAACAAAGAAGTTGTTTACACTCCTATGGATTTTCCCCCCTTTAAACATTTTAGCGATCATTTTTTGTGCTGCCATATGGGGCTGCATCTGCTTGCTGTTTGTTACAGACAATCTATGTTCTCATTTGGTGAGTGAAATGCCACTATTTGAGATTAGTCTATTACTTGGCACCAATTAGCAGGTACCTGATAACCAAATCTTGCTAAGGTTAGCAGATGACTTAGTATTTCTCCATCTTTTTTATACAGTCCATGCTTACACATGATTCAGTGCACACCTGTGTTTAATGGAGATGTCCCATCAGATCCTCCTACAGCATATAGAAATCCTCCCAGTACAGCCACAGCTACACCCAGTCGCCTGGTGCTCATGGATGCGACACGAGTCCATTTGTTCTCCTTGGGATCATACCTGTAAACAGCCAGGTTGGTCATTTAATTCCAAAGAATCATTTTTGCATTAAACTAACTTTTATCTAGTAGCCACCGATGGAACTGGAAACCCAAATAGTACAGTACAGGACATCTGCTACCTTTCAACTATGTTGAGACAGGAAACTCCATCCTGCCCTCCCACTGCATACAGATATCCTCCAAGTACAGCGACGCCAACACTGGTGCGACAAGTACTGGTGGGGGCCACATCGCTGCTCCACTGGTTGGTTTTAGGATCGTATCTAAAGTGGAGGTAATCACGTCAGTAGAATAAGACACACACACACAAACAGACTGTTGGAAAGCTGAGAATATCTACAGTGAAAGCCTCAGGGACCGCCGCTGACCTCTCCACAGAGTTGAGATATGACGAGCCATCGTGACCTCCCACTGCATACAATAGATCATCCAGGACACTGACACCAACTCCACATCGCCGCTTACTCATTGAAGCTACCATCCGCCACTCATTAGTCTGCGGATCATAGCGCTCCACGCTGGAAATAGCGTCACCGCTGCACCAACCTCCAACTGCAAGAGAAAGAAAGAAGAAAAAGTAAAAAATAAAAGTCAGGCTTTTCCTACAAAATACCAACAGTTGACTGGTAAGGATTTAAATTAAAAACAAATAAAAATGCAATATTAGGAAATCAAGGTTTTAATTTCTGTGCCTAAGATACTGACCTGCAAAAAGGACCTCTCCACATCGGATGGGTTTCCTGGGTCGGGTTCTGGGACCCTGCATTAGCGGTCTCTCCTGTGGTAGCAGCAGGTAATTCTTGGCCTCATCCACCAAGTCTCTGTAACATTAACCCCAAAGTAAACAGTTTCATATTAACCACAATAGCATAAATTTCCTCGATTATATGTGCACAAGCAGGATTTTTACCACCACTCCGCTTACAAACAGCACTCACCTGCACTCCTCGTCACTCTTGATGAGTGGATCTGAACCCACTGTGCCCACGAGGAACTTGGGGCTGAGGAGTGGCAGGCGGACATGCTGTAGGACCTGCAGAGCAAATACAATTAAAGAAGTCAAGCTTGAAACATTAGTCAGAATAGGACAACTAACTAAAATGTAGTTCACAAACTATCAGAAAAACACTCAAACTAAACTAACAAGGAAAAATGGACTAAGAGGATTAAACCAAAAGCAGATGTTGAATGTACTGCAGGCTTCTAGCGACGAACCTGGGGTAGCTGAGGTCTTCGCTCCTGGATGCTGTATTTCACCCAGGCCATCACGGCATTGAAAACCTGCTCCTCACTCCGCACGTTCAACTCATCACTGGAGATGATGTCAATGAGCTGGTTGGCAGGCAGGAGCATGAACTCCTCACTTTCCATTACCTAAAAAAAATGAAGTGCAACAGACAGTCAAAGAGAGAACGGTTCATTAAAGGTCTCAGCACATCAGTCAGCAAATCAATTTTCATTACCATCAACGTCAAATAAATTGTATTCACACTTTTTAAAGCAATTCGCCTTTCTCACAAAAGCATGACGTGAAATCTCATTTCTACACTAACAAAAGCAAAACCTGTCACGGGGAATAATCTCGCTCTGTCTTTTCTTCTCTCTGTTCTTTGTTTTCCAAAGACAAATTGGCTTTTAGCTGATGACATTAAAAATAACTGAGGTGAGCTGACTGAATAGCTCTCATCAGTTCATTTCACAATATTTTCGTTGGGCTAGCATCCTGACTTTCTCCACTTAAGATCATCGCCCTGTTGATGCCTGCATTGCCATTGCTCTGTGAAATGTGTTGGCACAACTTTGAAATCATTGCGTGAACATGGACTGGAAGGAATCTGGGCCTTGAGGTAGCAAAGTGCTATTTTAACATAATGGCTGTACTGAAAACAGAAAATTCACCTTAAGAGGGAAGTCTTAAAGGAGACCTACAGCACTGCTATAACACTTTCTCAAAGTGTTACTGTGGACTAAGGTAATGCCACCTAGAGTAAGTATATGGTTAGACATTTTTTTAATGGGAAAGAGTACAATAACCTCAGTGTCTGAATTTAGCAGGAAATTAAAGGTCATTCTTTATCTTTAAGACATCCTACAGTTTAATTAGTTGGTGTATTCTGGTTTCATGGATAGATAAAATTGGGTATCGTTGCATAGCAATGAAAATGCAAGCTATAACTTACAATAATATTGCGTATCGAAATGGCCTTAGCACAGAACCCTTTTGTGTGTGAACAAGACTCCCTATTTAATAAGATAAGATTCAAACCACAGTAGTAAAACATTGTGGTCAACAGTACTGAATACTGCACTGCGGTCTAGCAGCACAGAGAATAGGAGTAAGATCATCTGTAACCCTCACTAGTACTGTGATGAGATCTGAAACCCGACTGAAATTCCTCTGCAGATGTAAAACAGATAACTGATAAAGATTTTTTTTAATAAAAGGACGGGGAAAAGATTGGTCTATAATTAGCCAAGACAGCTGGATCGAGTAAAGGATGATGACACAGCTGCTCAAATATGTCTCTAGAAGGGACAATACTTTGTGTACAATGCCTTCTGAGAGAAAGGGTTATGGTCAGGGATTTGGTAATTAGGTTAAATTACTTTAATCAGCTGTTTAAAGCCACCATTTTCAAAGGACGGTAAGGTCTTGCATCATGCATGCTTTGCACCGTGCGGGTATATTTGTGGTGTTCGTTGCCTTTGTGGAAACATGGTATTGACAGTTTGCAGTGCATGCTATTCAGCTTCTTTTTCAGACTTTCAAATTCAATTTTATTTATATAGCACCAAATCACAACACCGGTTGCCTGAAGGCTCTTGTGCCCTGTGATATGTTGGCCCTTCAAACAGCCGAAATATCTTCACCATCTTTTTCAGTATTTTCCTTGTCCTTGAAGCCTTGGGCTAATTCCACTGGGGAGTCTTCTTTGATAACACTGGCGCTTCAGTTTCTGTTTTCTAGTTTCATCTTTTATCTGCTCACACTCCTTACGCACTGGTATGTATAGCTTCAGTATCCAAAACAGTACCACATGTGCTTCTGCTGGCCACTTCCCTACACTGTATTTGTTAAACTAACTTTAGATGGCTGAACTCTGTTCCAACCACATGACTGATCTGGCAATATATATATTAAAAAATAAATAAATAAATAAAATGTCAAATTTTATAGCAACCATGTCTCATATGAAGGTTATGTTGTGATAATCTTCTTTTCTTGACATTCACTCCATCATACATGCATGTGTGGTTTCAAACAAATGAAGAGGAAGGAATAAAAATGAGTTTTCGGCATTCGCTTAAAAGAAAAACTTAGAAAAACTGTCTGGGCTGAGCACTAGAACCTCAGTTTTACCGAAACTGAGAGAGGAAATTAGAATACATCCAATTAGTAACGGCAGAGAAATGTTCCTTGAGGCAGGAGAGGCTGTTGAAGTTGTTGGGCATGACAGAAAAATATAACTGTGTTTCATCTGCAAAGCAGTGGTAAGAGATTCCATTAAAACCATTAACTAGGTGACCCAGGGGTAATATATAAAAAGAAACAGAATTGGCCCAAGGCTTGAACCCTAGGCACTCCACATATGAGCGGTGCAGATTAGAGCATACTTTGATTAATATGAATTCTAAAATATCTGTTTGATAAGTATGAAAAAAAAAACTATTTAAGAGCAGTACCGGTGATCCCAACCCAGCTTCATAGTATGCTAATAAGAGTAGCATTATCAACAGTATCAAAGGCTGCAGATAAGTCAAGCAGGACATAAATGGAATGCTCTCCTTTATCAGAGTGCATAAGGACATCATTAATAATTTTCAATAACGCTGTTTCAGTGCTGTGTCTCTAACCAGACTGGAATTTACAGAAAATATTATTTACTCTAAGATCCGAATGAGTTGACGACCAACAACTTTCCTAAAGATTTTGAAAAGAAACTGATTGGAAATTGGCCTGTAAGTATTTAAATCAGTGGGATCTAAGGAGGTTTGTTTTTTAGTAGAGGGACGACGCTGGCTGGAATCCAGCCAGATGAAAGGGACCGGCTGACAGGCAGGGTGAAGTGCACAAGTGTGAGACTATATTCAAAATATCTGTTGAAGAGATTATTTGAGAGAGACTTGGAATATGGAGAGCAGTCTTTTTCCGTCTCTGTTCAGCCTTTCTTCATTCTCTTCTTTGGTGGCAGATACGATCACTGACCCACGGAAGAATTGGTAACAGGGGCTAATCTGACTTTTAACAGTGCGACATGATGCTGAATTGAAGAGCATATATTAGGGCTGTGCGATATGACCAAAATCTCATATCCCGATATTAAGACATCTATCGTCCGATAACGATATAAATCACAAAGATTTAACATTTTCTGTAAATTCTGTGAATCTCGGACAGCTCGACTTGCGGGAAGTGTTTCCAGCTGGGCGCCGTGTAGCTGGAGTTGAGTGTTTTAACCGATGCATGAAACTATACATTTTTAGACATAAGTTGTAAAGGCCGCCGTTTTCTTTGTGAGTATTTATTACAC